ATAAGGCATCTACTCTATAGAAACGTTCTTCAAAATTTTCAGATACTAGGCACTGAATGCATGAACAATTTTTTGCTGTACATATACAGAATGTTGAAAATAATACAGAAAAATTGTTATTTAACTATTGGAAACAACAATAAGTAAATATCAATTGCAGGATATGGCTCAAGATTATCAATAAAACTCAACCAGTTTTTTATTAATTACACTGTAGTGGCGATTTCACAACACACCTCACTCCTCAAGAATTTTAGCTGTAATAAAGCATCTATTAATCTAATAACAGGGGGAAAGAGACACCATTATTATTCTGTGGACAAAATAGACTGTATATATACCCTTCCACGGGCATTATTGCGGCCCAAACAGTAGGAATGAAAATGACCGACACGAGTGTCCGAGGTTTGTTATTACTAAGTGATGGCGATTTAATTGCCAAAGAAAACACACATAAAACTAGGGGTGGATATTGGCAAAGAAGTCACGATTCGATTCGAATCACGATTCACATGCCACGATGCGATTCTATCACGATGCATCACCATACTTGAAATATTGTGATGCATTGCGATATTTTCACACTGTAAGAACAGTGTTCAGTGAAAACCAGTGGCTGACTGGCTGGGTATGATCTGGATAGTGTCTTCAATTGATACATAACTGAAAGCAACTGAATTCATACATAGCTGTATTTATTGAAAAGACTTTTGGAGGTGTTGCCATGAAAACAAATACTGGACAGAAATATTACTATTACTGGCATGGACACACTGACAAAAAGATCTTAGGATTCATCAAACTTAAAAATAACAAAATAAGGATAATCAGTGCTATTTACATGGCCTCAGTGGCCCTTTAAACCATCCATCCATCCATCCATCCATCTTCCTCCGCTTATCCGGGGTCGGGTCGCGGGGGCAGCAGCTTAAGAAGGGAGGCCCAGACTTCCCTCTCCCCAGCCACTTCTTCCAGCTCTTCAGGAGGAACCCCAAGGCGTTCCCAGGCCAGCCGAGAAACATAGTCTCTCCAGCTTGTCCTGGGTCTTCACCGGGGCCTCCCTCCGGTGGGACGTGCCCGGAACACCTCACCAGGGAGGCGTCCAGGAGGCATCCTAAACAGATGCCCAAGCCACCTCAACTGGCTCCTCTCGACATGGAGGAGCAGCGGCTCTACTCCGAGTCCCTCCCGGATGACCGAGCTTCTCACCCTATCTTTAAGGGAGAGCCCAGCCACCCTACGGAGGAAACCCATTTCGGCCGCTTGTATCCGCGATCTCGTTCTTTCGGTCATGACCCAGAGTTCATGACCATAGATGAGGGTAGGAACGTAGATCGACCGGTAAATCGAGAGCTTCGCTTTTTGACTCAGCTCTCTCTTCACCACGACGGACCGGTACAGCGCCCGCTTCACGGCAGACGCTGCACCAATCCGCCTGTCGATCTCCCGCTCCCTTCTTCCCTCATTCGTGAACAAGATCCCAAGATACTTAAACTCCTCCACTTGGGGCAGGATACCCCCCCTGACTCGGAGAAGGCACTCTACCCTTTTCCGGCTCAAGACCATGGCCTCGGATTTGGAGGCACTGATCCCCATCCCGGCCGCTTCACACTCGGCTGCGAACCGATCCAGCGAGAGCTGCAGATCACGACCTGATGAAGCCAATAGGACCACATCATCTGCAAAAAGTAGAGACGCAATCCTAAGGCCACCAAAACGGATCCCCTCAACACCTTGGCTGCGCCTAGAAATTCTGTCCATGAAGGTAATGAACAGAATCGGTGACAAAGGGCAGCCCTGGCGGAGTCCAACTCTCACCGGAAATGAGCCCGACTTACTGCCGGCAATGCGGACCAGACTCTGACACCGGTCATACAGGGACCTGACAGCCCGTATCAAAGGGCCCGGCACCCCTTATTCCCGGAGAACCCCCCACAGGGCCCCCCGAGGGACACGGTCGAACACCTTCTCCAAGTCCACAAAGCACATGTAGACTGGTTGGGCGAACTCCCATGCACCCTCCAGGACCCTGCTGAGGGTGTAGAGCTGGTCCAGCGTTCCACGACCAGGACGGAAACCACACTGCTCTTCCTGAATCCGAGGTTCAACTATCCGACGGACCCTCCTCTCCAGCACCCCCGAATAGACCTTGCCGGGTAGGCTTTAAACCAATGAAATGAAAACATTCAAATGTACAGTATGACATATTCCCTTTTGCAAATTACGTGCATCATATCAATTTAATTTTTACCTTCTTTGTTTTTAAAGCCTAAATGCATCCAAGCATCTGATTTGAAATGTGATGAAGCCGCAGGGCGAATTTTCATAGTGTCCTCCAGGTTTTATTTCATATGACTCGTCGCAGTATCCTGCGGCCGGAAATGCTTGTGACACAAAGCAGCGGGCATCAACACATCCGCAGCGAGATCTGATGGACTGCAAGTTGTATTCCACTTGATTTAGCTGATGTGCGCCAACCATCAATGTATTTTATTTGTTCATTTTTTTTTTTATAATCGATTCTTGCCTTCAAGAATCGATGCAGTAGATCACAAAAATTAGGATCGTGATGCATCGTCATGACGATTATTTTGCACACCCCTACATAAAACCCCTTTGGAATGAAAGGGGAGAGGGGAGAAAGAATATTTAATGGACATAACAATTTATTTTATCTGAGGCTTCGCTGTGTGGTCATACTTTAACTTACAAACACAGTTTAAAACTCTGTTTGGAGATAAATCCTTCGTGATACAAAATCAAAAGAGGTTGTGTTCATAACTGCTAGGGTTTTTAAAAAATCATTCATCAAGCACCACCACAAGTTTGAGGGAAAAATACAGATTTAGAGTGGATGACATATCACAGCAGAGTGGAGAGTTTTTGTTGGGCAGTAATTTGTTCGGAGGGTTTTTTGTCCAACTCTAACATATATTCCTATGAGAGATTAGCAGAAACACAAGTGTGACAATCTGTTTTTAAATGGTCCTAAATAAGGAAGAATGATTTAATAATCTGAAAAGGATTGTGTATCACTGATGGCTCTGACTAGCCTGACGTAGTCCTACTCAATTCTAGGCAGAATATGAGTCTGATACTGCTCCATAGAGCTGTGATTATGGGGCGTGTTTCAAACGAACCAGGAAAAAAATGCCTCTGCACTCAATTGGATAGACCTACAACCAATAAGAGCAACGGAGTACGTGACGTATGTTAAGCCACGCATAGTTGTTGTCCACAAAAATCAAAGCGTGCAGTTGCACGCCTAGAATAAGAATATGAGCCTTGATCGCGTTTCTCTGTTCCTCTTTTAAAATTAATTTGCTGTCGATATCTTCTAGAACAGACCGAATAGCAGAATCTACTCACCTCAACTCTCCAGTGGCAGCCATTATTGTTGTCACCCAAGTGTGCATTGGTCACGTGGTTGATTACGTTACTGTTTGTCATCTGTCCATCATCGTATAAAGCCCACCCTGACAATTTGATTGGATCGCCTGACAGTGGGCTTTAATACTTGCGCTACTATGGAGCAGAGCCAGACCGAACTTCCCCGACCTCAAACTTTGTGGGCGGGACTAAGTTCTGACTGGCACCCAGGCTAGGCTCTGACCCTTTCCTTAACACACAAACCCCATAGATTTTCAAAGTAAGACTCCAAGGATTCTACAAAATAAAAGCCTTTACATTGTACTCACCAATTCAGCATATGTTACAACATTATGACCCAAACTCAACCACTTTTTTAAAATTAGACTACCAAGGCCACCTCACAACCCACATTAATACACATTTCAAAATAAAGTTCTCCCATTTTCACTTCAATAAACCTTCTACTGACCTAATAATAAGGAAAAAGACAGATTAAACAATTGTAAATGGATTCCATATTACTCCTTAATATAACCGTATGCTAAAGAAACATCCCTGCTAGACCTTCAAAATAACACCAGGTAGTCTACAAAATAAAAGCCTAAATAATATACTCAGACATTTATTGCATTATAGAGATCTTTATCATCACCCCAGTCGCCACTAGGTCTAAGAAAGGCAGTTGGCAGTAGGTAAGGCGATGCCAGTCGCTACTGGGTATGGCAATGCCAGTTGCCATCAAGCTTGAACAAGCAAGTTGCCAACTGGTATGGTGACATATTTTGCCACAATATTTCATGCTCTTACCCAATGTTAGGTGAACCCAACTAACCCCATCTTGATATACAGGAGGCCCACTCACCTCATGTCTAACTGTTTTGTTTCATAATCATCATGAAGTGATATCTGTAGCCCTCTTCAGGAAGTATCAACATGCCAACACGCTGCAACAGCTACAAACAACTATTATTTATCAACGATCAACACATACCCCTGGATTGATTGGGCTCAGCCTTTAATTTTTTTACCATTATTTTTTGCTTTAACTTGTGGACTGCTGTCTGTTATAATAACATTAAACAAGAGCTATCAAACAAAACCACTATGAAAACTAAAGTTACCCTACAACCGATCACAGCATGCCCATTGATACTTCACTTATTTGTGGGAGGCTGGTAGCTTCCTCTAACAATTAAAATGTTGCTGAAATTAGGAAATCTGTTAGAATAAAGCCCTTTATTGTCCCAGAATGGGAGAATTCTGGAAGCAATGCCCCCATACCAGGAGTGAAACCCAGGCCACCCGGGTGAAAACTAGGAATCCTAACCGCTAGACCATATGGGATAATGTAGGGCTGTTACTGCTCTGATCAACTTCACTAAAGTTCACCAACTGTGTTGGTTCCTGATGAGTTGACCTTCATACTAGGATCATCTAGTTTTCAGATGATCCTCTTGGAAAAATGGATTAAGGACAGAAAATCATGACACTTGTATAAAAGCAGCAGCAATACCATAATGATGTGTTTAAATATAAAATTCTATCTATATATATGGTTTTCAAAGCAACTAAAGAAAGAATATGTATGTAAAAAAGAAAGAACATTACTCTGTTTTCTTCCCAGCGTTTTATTGGGCTATAAATGTAAAGAGAGGATCTCCTGTGGCGACAGCAGCCATTATCTGCAGAACAAAGATTAAAATGTGACATTGGTTAGGAAAGCCAATATTCCTATTGCTTTAATCGAATATCCTAATTATTCCTCTAGAGGTCCAATTAGCTCGATGTGGCTGAACATAAAGCTAATAGCTGGTCCTCAACATGCCATGGATTGGACCTCCCTTCTAAGGTTGCTATTAATATAGCACTTTGGAGAAGTTCAGTTTTGAAATAAAGTTTGTTTTTTTGGTTGATAAACTTTTAATTATTTTGTGGCACGGGGATGAGACACATCATTTGGCCACCAAAAAACTGGACCAACATGCAAAAGATAACCAGGCCTTTGTACAAAGCAGTTTTCACAGATGGTCATGCAACCGACTCAGAAAAGATCCGAAACAATTCACTAAAACAGAAGGGTGTCTCTTTGGTTTCCATATCATTTACTTTCAGCATTTTTCAATATCCGGTCGGATGAGAGGGTTTCCTAAATACCAGCTAAGTTGCGTCTCAGATTCAGTTTATTTATTTAATATAGCCTCAATTCACAACACAGATAATCTTAAGGCACTCAACAGAGACATTTCAATCAGATCATAAAGCCAGATTGGTAAAAACAAATTCTACCTCAGGTTAACCAACTGATTGCACCTAATCATCGCCTTTGCAAGACAAAATCCTCCTGGATGAGCATGTGGTGACAATAGATATATTGTAATGTTGACTCACACTCAGCAATCCCTTACACCAAATTTGTATGAGGAGGGAAAAACTCTTAGAAATGTAGAAGAAACTTAGCGTGAGTTCCTTTCTGCTGAGGCCGACTGGGAGTTCAAGAAGGCAGAAGCAGACATAAAATAGGAAAATAGATACACTGATCCTTAAGTACTGTAGGTACTGAACTTAATTTCGTCTAAATTAGGTTATTTATTTTTCCGTGATATCTCTGTATTTAGCTCTAACTGTCCAGAAGCACTTTAAAACATAGATCTACTGCTGCTCTTTTCTACTGTACACTTGTCGCTTTCACACTGTTTTATTTCTGGTAGTAAGCAGTAGCGAGCCTCTTTCTAAACGTTCCTCAGCTTTCTCCTGCTCTATGTGTCAGATGTTCAGTTATTCCTCTAACTCCTTTAGTGATAATGGAATGTGGAATAAATGTAGTATTTTTGTAGCTTTGGAGGCATGAGGGTCAGAGTTAGAGTGAAAACACCAAGACCAGGGACACTTCTATGTAGTGGTTCTCCAAAAGTGCCTTAGCAGCCAGGTGATTGGGTGACAGTATACAGAAAGCGTAGTTCTAAATCTCTGGGAAGTGGTCACCACCAAGCCGTCCATGTTTCTAACCGATTTTCCCCGCCCACTCGGGTAATTAGCAGCTCCATAGTCAGAAAGGTGGAATTAGAAACACCAGGGATCACAGGCAAATGTTTGCTGGGGGCAAGAATGGGCAACATCAAATGCTACTTGAAACTAGTGGCTAAGTAAATGTTAAATACAGTAAGATTGTTATTCACGCTGGCGGTAATGACACCCTGTTATACCGATCGGAGGTCACTAAAATAAGCGTTGCTTCTGTATGTTCGTTTGCCAGAAGAATGTCGGACTTAGTAATTTTCTCATGTCCCCTTCCTCATCTTACCAGTGATGACATGTTTAGCCACATGTCGTCATTCAACCGCTAGTTGTTAATTGGCAGTCTTTTAGGAAAACCTGGTCTCATTCGAAAAGACAGTATCCATCCGACTTTGGATGGTGCAGTTCTTTCAGGGAATCTGGCCGAATTTATTAGTCCTACAAAACCCTGACCACCCAGGGTGCAGATCAGGAAGGAGAGTCTATAAATAAATTAGAAAATAATCCTGAAAGAGTAAATTGTGATAATCTACTTAAAATTTAAATTAACTCCAATTGGGTGAAAAAAGTAAAAACTATTAAATGTGGTTTATTTAACACAGGCATCCCCAAACTCGGTCCTCAAGGCCCCCTGTCCTGCAGGTTTTAGAGGTTTCTCTGCTTCAGCACAGCTGTTTATAATGATTGCAGTAGATCAAAAGCCTGTTAATCAGCTTTCAATTAAAATCAGCTGTGCTGGAGCAAGGAAACCTCTAAAACCTGCAGGACAGGGGGCCTTGAGGACCGAGTTTTATAATAAACTTATTATTATATATTTTTATTTATTTTATAAACCCTTTTAAAAAAACACAGCTGCCACAAAGTGAGGTCTGTATCAGGTAGAGTTAAAATTGTGAAAAAACAACACAGAAATTTAAAGGAATAAAACAAATATCATAAAATACTTAAATACATAAAACAAATAAATCTGTATAAAAAAAAGAAAATAAATCAAACCACAAGCGCATAAACTGAGTCTCATATTGTATTAAAAACCAAAGAATAAAATAAGATTTAAGATGAGTTTTAAAAATAGACCCTTAAGATGATTGTCTAATTAGGAGGGGGAGCTCATTCCCAAATTTAGGATCAGGAACTTAAAAAGCTCTGTCTCCTCTAAGCTTCCGTTTGGACCTCGGTGGGGGGGAGAAGCTCAGAGAGGTAGGGAGGGGCCAAGCCATTTAAAGACTTAAAAACAAATAAAACATTCCTAAAATGAACTCTAAAATGAACAGACAGCCAACGAAGCCAATGTGCTTCCTCTTACATATTCCAACTAAAATGCATGCAGCTGCATTTTGCACCAACTGGAGACGAGGGAGGACTAGCTCACCACAAAATAAAGTGTGCTATAGTAGTCAGAGATGTATCAAAGGCATGCATTATTGTTTATAAATGCTGCTGTGCAAGAAAAGGGTTGACCTTGTCCAACTGTTTGATAGGATAAAAAATTAGCTTTACTATAGAGCTGACTTGCCAATACAATTTAAAATCGGTCTTAAAACCCAAGTTTGAGACAGCAGGATTTTTTTCAAAGTTAAAAGGCTCAAGTCAACGGGGGATTGGGGGGGGTCCACCTTCACAACGTTATGGGGACCAAACATTATCACTTCAGTTTTTGCGTCGTTGAGATAATAAAAAGTTCCACTGCCAACCAGGCTTTAATGTCCTTAAGGCATGCCAGTAGTGGTGCAAGGGAGAAGGCATTTTTTTTTTTTTAAAAAGGCAAATAAATCTTACTTAACCTGAGCCACTCTAACTATAAGCTTTATCAAAAGGGAAAGTTCTAAGGCTTTCCTTAAAGTTAGACAGGGTGTCTGCCTCACAGACTAAAACTGGTACTTGGTTCCATGGGAGAGGATCCTGATAACTAAAATATTTTCCACCCATTATTCTTTAAACAACTCTAGGAACCACTAGTAAATCTGCAGTTGGAGACCTAAGTGCTCTGTTAGGAACATAAGGAACAATCTGATCTCTGATATAAGAATGAGCTTGGTCATTTAAGGCTTTATATGTGAGAAGGGGGATTATAAATCATATTCTGGATTTAACAGGAAGCCAATGAAGTGAACTTGAATAGGAGAAATATGATCTCTTTTAAAAAAAAAAAATGAATACGTACATGCACCTCCAACAGGAGCAGTGGAGTCAAGGAACTTTTAAATGGGAAGGATCTCAATTAAGGTCACTGCCACTGGGACTCCTCTCACTTTGGACTTAGAAAAGTTGCTATATAGAGACCATACTTCAGACTTACTCAGGACTGACTTTTATTCTTTTATTGAACCTTATATCCAGTCAACCAAGTTTTAAGCAGTCAGTTATTTTTCAAAATGTATCATTTATAGCTATTATTTATAGCTAATATTTCTAATCTTGAATATTATAATCATGGTGAAGCATTTATGCATGTTTGATTTACAGATCATTTTGGGTACCAAGTTGTGCCTGTTGGTTGGGAAACCACCAGATGACGTTGAGGATGGGGATAGTTTCCTCCCCTATCTTAAAAAATATATAACATTTATACACAAATATATACACATATGGCAACACCTAAGCTTTTTGATCCCATATTAATTAAATTTTTGCCATGTAGAAAATGATGATCTCATTATGTATTCAGTTATACTATTTTAAGTTTTCAAGTAACTATATACACCTTAATGGTTTCATTTAATTGATTATATCCTCCAGCATTTATCATCACTGAGGTTGCCTTATTATTATTTCTACATTTGACATTTTAATTTTTACATATGTAAGTATATCTAGACATTGCTTCCCACTTGTATTCTACAAAATAATTTGATAATAACTGATAGACAACCACGGTAGCAGGGAATATAAGGATGGTCTCTGTAGCACCAGAAAGTGGGAAAGACTTAGAATGAATTATACCTCAATCCCCTCGAAATGAGTCCCACAAGCAAGGAAATTCATTACAACTTTCAAGGAAAATTATACTACATGCCAGAAAATTTTTTTTGACGCTGTGAATACAGGTCCTTCTCAAAATATTAGCATATTGTGATAAAGTTGATTATTTTCCATAGTTTAATGATAAAACTTGAACATTCATATATTTTAGACTCATTGCACACTAACTAAAATATTTCAGGTCTTTTATTGTCTAAATATGGATGATTTTGGCATACAGCTCATTAAAAACCCAAAATTCCTATCTCACAAAATTAGCATATTTCATGCGACCATTAAAAGAAAAGTGTTCTTAAGACAAAAAAAAGTCAACCTTCAAATAATTATGTACAGTTATGCACTAAATACTTGGTTGGGAATCCTTTTGCAGAAATGACTGCTTCAATGTGGCGTGGCATTGAGGCAATCAGCCTCTAGCACTCTTGAGGTGTTATGGAGGCCCAGGATGCTTCGATAGCGGCCTTTAGCTCATCCAGAGTGTTGGGTCTTGCGTCTCTTAACTTTCTCTTCACAATATCCCACAGATTCTCTATGGGGTTCAGGTCAGGAGAGTTGGCAGACCAATTGAGCAGTGATACCATGGTCAGTAAAACATTTACCAGTGGTTTTGGCACTGTGAGCAGGTGCCAGGTCGTGCTGAAAACTGAAATCTTCATCTCCATAAAGCTTATCAGCAGAGAGAAGC